TAAATGAATTAGACAAAAAAAAAATTTCATATTATACTAATATATCTATGAGAACTAAGCTATAGCTTCTATCCATTTTTCTACCTACTATAAAGATAAATCACGATCAAAATTTCAAGTGGCAATTATTTTTTCTATAATTAAGAAAGTATTGCAGAAAAGATACATATATAATTCTATGTCCCTGTTGGAATTGATAAGTGCTACTGATGCACTGAAAAAGTAAAAAAAGAAAGAAAATAATGTTTTGATTTTTTAAAATCTGGTCTTGGCCAGTGTGGGTCATTTGGTTGAAGTGTCCCCCATGCACCAAAAGGTGGTGGGTTCAATTCCCGATCAGGGCACATAAGGTTACAAATTGGATCCTTGGTCCAGGAGAGTGTGGGAGGCAGCCAATTAGTCTCTCTCTCTCTCTCTCTCTCTCTCTCTCTCTCTCTCTCTCCCCTCCCTCCCTCTTCCTTCTTCTCTCTAAAATCAATAAAAAATAATAATAATAAGAAATGTATCTCAATATTGCTCAGATAGAAAGTTTGGTTTTCTAATATTTTTGCTATTTGTTTTAAATATTTAAGGAACACTGTAACACACTATATAATGTGTGCTCTAGAGAGCACCCCAATCTAGGTTTAAAAGTTTCTTTATTGATTGATTTGAGAGAGAGAGAAACAGCAATTTGTTGTTACATTTATCTATGAATTTATTGGTTGCTTCTTGTATGTGCCCTGACCAGGGATTGAACCCACAACCTCGGTGTACCGGATGATACTCCAACCAACAGAGCTCCCCAAGCAGAATCAAAGCTAGATTTTAATCTGTTCTCCACTACTAGCAGAACATGTGACCTCAGGCAAATCAAGGAACTTCTATAATCTCAGCTTTATCATTTATAAAGTGCATATTCCTACCAACCTCACAAGATTTTGTGAGAATCAAATGAATTAATAAGTTTAATAACTTTGTAAAACTCTTAAACAATATTTAGATATGAGATTATAATTGCCAATAAATGGTCAAAATAAGAAATCTCTATAAAACAAAGGGATGTGATACCAAGTGCCATATTATACCTTTTTAAAATCCTATGTGGCAAGAGATAGAAAGCATATTAATATCGAGTTTCCAGAGAAAACGCAGGGTGCCCAGTTCAATTTGAACTTCAGAGAAACAACACATATTTTTGTTTAAGTAAATTATATACATGGGCTCTTGCCCCCAAAGTATAGGAAACACACTGACAAATATCTGTCAATCAGGAATTTAATTACTGAGAAATAACAAACTAGTTATTTTTTCAAAGTAGTTTTTTCTACTACTTCTTATTAATTATATTTAGAAATAAGAATGGAGGGAAATTTGACATATGGTAAACATGGGGGGAGATGATACATTTTATAGTGTAGCAAATGTTAGTGTTCCATTTTTCTATTTTAATTTATGTGAAATCTTTGAACATCAAACATATCTACCTTCCACCAGAACAAAATCGTTTTCTAAAGTTTAAAATAAATGATTTCTGGCTCATTCACTGTTTTAGATTATTCAATAGGGAAGACTTATGGTGATTTTATAGTATGTTAGAGCTAAGAATAGTGCTGGGAGTAAATTAATTATTCCACAGGAACAAACATAATTCTAGTAGCCTTATTGAAAGAGAAAACAAATTATTTGTGACAAGTGACCAAAACAGACTGATGTCAAACACAAATTCTCAACAATTGATTCCGTTTATAAGCTACATTCTTTTAGGGAAAAGGTATGAAAAACGTTAGAACAAGATGGGACAATTCTTTGTGCATGTGAAGGTATTAAATTATTTTTCATTTTTTATCTCTTTAACTCATACATTTTATTTTGCCATCTCTTCTGCCAAGTTAGCCAGTGTGCGGCCAAACATCATATCCTCTTGCTTTACTCATATGCACTCCCTTGACAAGAGTGTATCCTAAGGTACAGCCTTAAAAAAAATCTTGGGGGGAGATCCAAGATGGCTGACAACGGGATGGCAGGATGCAAGATAGTGTGAGTGAGAGCGAAAGGAGAATGTGTGAACGTGTGGGGAGTTTCTGTATTTGAGAGTGAGGGACAGCTATATTCCATGGGACTGTTGGGGACTGGTGGACCAGGCTTCCCTGGCCGGGCAGCCTATACTGCTGCTGAAATATCTCCCAGAGCAGCCAGCTTTGCCGCAGAGACTGCACCATCTTGAAGGGGAGACGGGCTGTGATCAGAAGCCCAGCCTTATCTTCAACTGGGGAGACCTTGGATACCTCCCGTGACCCTACAACCACAATGCCCAGGGACCAACTGCCTCAGCGGTGAACCCACAAACGCCAGGACTCCAGCCTTCCGGACCGCGGGCACCTAAAAAGTCTGTCCAGGGGGAGACAAAGTGGTGCGGAATATGCACACTAGCCCTGCGCCATCTCATAGAGCAGATAGAAGGAACAGCTGAATCGAACAACACCCACCTAGAATTGGCGAATTAAACGTGGCTGGTGAGGCAATCCCTGGAAGGAAAGGTCAGAGATTGCATAGAGGAAGGTGAGATCTAGGATCCTGGCTGGAGGGAGAAACCCACGCAGCAGGGACTAGTGTCAGGGGAAGACTGTGCCCCCCACAAAATCCACAGTTGTTGGGGTCAGTGTAGCCCTCAAATGTGGAAGGGGGTCCACAGGGCTGCTGGAAAAATGGGACTCTAGATATTAGCCCACATCTTGGCTGGGCCAAGAAAGGCAGCCTGAATTTCTATACCAGCTGCGCAGTTCCAGGGAAAAAAGACATGAGTCTGCGCACTTCCTTTGCCTTTTTTTTTTTTCCTTTTTAACTCCTTGCTTTTGCTTGCTAAGTCCACATAGGATCTTCCAATTAAAAACTCTCACAGAGACTGCAGGGGAAAGTTGTTTTTGTGGAAACTGGGGATCAGAGTGGGGAAAGATGAACAGGAAACCAGCTCTAGGGCAGTCCGTTCCTCCAACCCAATATTAAGTGTGGCTGGGAAAGAATAATCCAGTGATGGCGAACCTATGACAAGCGTGTCAGAGGTGACACGCGAACTCATTTTTTTAAATTGATTTTTCTTTGTTAAATGGCATTTAAATATATAAAATAAATATCAAAACTGTAAGTCTTTGTTTTACTATGGTTGCAAATATCAAAAAATTTCTATATGTGACACGGCACCAGAGTTAAGTTAGGGTTTTTCAAAATGCTGACATGCCGAGCTCAAAAGGTTCGCCATCACTAGCCTAGGGAATCGTCAATAACTGTGTGGTGTCAGATGGGACCATTACTGGTTTGTAACTTGAAAAGTCCATGGTTGACCATGGCCCAGCCTCCCCCACCCCACACAATGTACATGGGAGCTTGAGATGACCCAGTGAATATAAAATGATAAAGCCAGAATTGTATCATGTGAGATGTCATTTGCAAATGTCCCCCTTAGTTTATGTACTTGGTAACTGAAAAGTTTGAGCTTGGAATGAAGGCTCAGCAACTCGGGTGCTGGGCTCCGTGTGCCCGGCCATGGTGGTTTGCAGGCGGCATCACACAGAATCAGTATTTACCTTACAGGCTCTTATACCCAGACAAATACCATGTTAACCTGGATGAGGGGCTCTACTCCAATCACATGTTCATGGATGGAGACAGTATCAAGATCGTTGGACTTCCAATGTTTTCTAAGACGAGTGGAGGGACTTCAGACGGGGAAACTAGTTTTTCTATCCTTTCTTTTTACTCCCTGTTAAAAAATTGTTCTTACTCATATATCTAATTTCCTCTCCCCTGCTCCAAGTCCATGCACACTTTTTTCTTTTCTTTCTTCACTATCCAATTATTTTTTTTCCTCTTTTTTTTCCCTTTTTCTTTCATTCTGTCTTCTTTTGGTGTTTGTTTGATTGTTAGTTTTTTATTTCTTCTTCTTTTAATTCTGATTTTACTCTCCTCATTTGTTCCCTTCTTATACTAATAGTGTAATTAATTCCAATCACCAACTCAGGCCTATCTACTCGGGACTGGTGGACCAGGCTTCCCTGGCCGGGCAGCCTATACTGCTGCTGAAATATCTCCCAGAGCAGCCAGCTTTGCCGCAGAGACTGCACCATCTTGAAGGGGAGACGGGCTGTGATCAGAAGCCCAGCCTTATCTTCAACTGGGGAGACCTTGGATACCTCCCGTGACCCTACAACCACAATGCCCAGGGACCAACTGCCTCAGCGGTGAACCCACAAACGCCAGGACTCCAGCCTTCCGGACCGCGGGCACCTAAAAAGTCTGTCCAGGGGGAGACAAAGTGGTGCGGAATATGCACACTAGCCCTGCGCCATCTCATAGAGCAGATAGAAGGAACAGCTGAATCGAACAACACCCACCTAGAATTGGCGAATTAAACGTGGCTGGTGAGGCAATCCCTGGAAGGAAAGGTCAGAGATTGCATAGAGGAAGGTGAGATCTAGGATCCTGGCTGGAGGGAGAAACCCACGCAGCAGGGACTAGTGTCAGGGGAAGACTGTGCCCCCCACAAAATCCACAGTTGTTGGGGTCAGTGTAGCCCTCAAATGTGGAAGGGGGTCCACAGGGCTGCTGGAAAAATGGGACTCTAGATATTAGCCCACATCTTGGCTGGGCCAAGAAAGGCAGCCTGAATTTCTATACCAGCTGCGCAGTTCCAGGGAAAAAAGACATGAGTCTGCGCACTTCCTTTGCCTTTTTTTTTTTTCCTTTTTAACTCCTTGCTTTTGCTTGCTAAGTCCACATAGGATCTTCCAATTAAAAACTCTCACAGAGACTGCAGGGGAAAGTTGTTTTTGTGGAAACTGGGGATCAGAGTGGGGAAAGATGAACAGGAAACCAGCTCTAGGGCAGTCCGTTCCTCCAACCCAATATTAAGTGTGGCTGGGAAAGAATAATCCAGTGATGGCGAACCTATGACAAGCGTGTCAGAGGTGACACGCGAACTCATTTTTTTAAATTGATTTTTCTTTGTTAAATGGCATTTAAATATATAAAATAAATATCAAAACTGTAA